TATGGGTTGTTAATGTAAACTAGTTTAGTTTACATGGGCCCTTGAATAATATTGATTATTCAAAGGGTAGCATATTAAATTCGTGGGGTCCCTTTATAAAATAAGATTTTATTGGGCTTGGAAGTGAAAAATAAATAATTGCAAAATAGCCCAAGTATATATAAGTGCAAAAGGTTGCATTTTTGTTCATTATTCACTTGTTCACTCAAACACAAACTAAAAGCTCTCTCTCCCTAGCCAAGGCCACTCTCTAATCCTCTCAAGGTGGTGTTAAAGTGTGGAGGTTTCATCCTTTTGAAGCTAATCTTCATCAATCCAAAGCAAAGGAGTAGGTATAATCTCATATCCAAGCTTTGCATGTAAACCGTTTTTTTTAATCCATGCTTTCATGCTTTCATTCTCCATCTCCACCACTCTTCATGCATGCTGAATCTTTCAAGACTGAGTGAGGGGATTTCTTGCAGATTCTTTCATGCTCCCCCTCGTCTTGGTACATCAGATGAGTCTGACATGGTCGACTCACCTTTCCACTCGGTCAGACGTACCGAACGCGTCCATGACTATGTTTCATATCGCCTAGGTACACTGGCATACCAAATTCCCCGTCGATAACAAGAGCTTACATATTCGTTCCAAGGAATGGAGAAGCAGCACATTCATAAGTTTAACCAGTCGGTCGCAAAGGCCGACCAGAGTCATCTCCAAGTAATTTCTACTCTCTAAGCTAAGCACACCTTAGCTCAGAGAGTGGGGAGCAAACTATTAGGGCCAAAAAATGTCCTCGCCTAGATAGGCCCAAAGACGAAGACACCTTCAACAAAGCTGAAAAGCTTAGGCCCAATTCCGATGGGCCCAACTCAGAGTTCTGCAGATGAGGCCCGTCTGGTGTTCCTTCCTAGTTCCTCCCCATTTGGACATAAGCCTTCTGATCCTAGAACACCTTCTGGACTTACGATCAACTTGGAGCCCATAGTCGCCTACGAACTACAGTACTACTTGAACTCTACTGAGGAAGTCAATTATTATCCCAATTCGTCTAAAGTCCGTATCCTAGGCACGCTAGGACTCCCTTTCGTACTGAGATTAGGGAGCCAAAGGCTCCACTCTTTGGGAGGACCACTGCTGCAAGGACTCCCAATCCCACTAGGATTCGAAGACATGCAATCACTATTTAAATAGAGGTCAACCCTCTCACAAGGGACGGGGAGATTACACCTTCAAACCTTGGAGTTCCCACCCTTGAGAACTTTGTATTACGGCCATAGTCACAGTCCTCGACTAGACTTCCGATAAACCTTCTTCTCCTTAACCCTCACTAAACCAATCTCACTCAGCCTTCCTGAACTGAGCGTCATAGTGACTACGGCAAACACCACCCCGGTGTTTTCCGTCCACTTCATGTTTGTTTTCTTACATGTATAGGTGCAAAAGATCGCTAGTAGCCTCAACCTCACGGAATCAGTCCCCCTTTTCGTAAAGGTAGATTTTTGCATCTACATATACTAATTCTCATTTTTTTTAATCTAAGAATAGACTTGAGTAAATATATTAATATCAATTTTTTGCTACCTATATATTAATAATTTTATTTTAAAATCTGACCCTCAAAGGGCTGGATCCGCCCCTGTTGGTGCGACAACCTCAACCCTACCATAACTACGAATTATCATGAAAATTGATATACTCAATTCAACAAGTTGAGGCCGGGAGATCCTGAAATTCATGTTGACGTTGCAGCGAGATAAGATGTGAAGAATGACGGCGTTGAAATGTGAGGGATTATGAAAAATTGATAAGGTCAAAAGTGAGGTGAGGGAGAGTCTTCCATACCCCATAGGTCTCTATAAATACACAAATTTGAACTGCGAATTTTTAGTGTTGATAAAGGAAAGAATGGGATGAAGAATTTCATTTGGTCAATCGATCTCTGTATTTCATGTAACTCCTCGTCATGTAGCGTTTCACCACCCTTCAGAAATCATCACCTTTCTTCCTCTTCACCATGTTAGTTCACTTCGTAACTGTAATTTTAGTTAAAAATTATGGGATAGTTGATAAATTTTATGTATAGTTAAAAGGAATTTGGAAACAATTTTTATTATTTTCCAAAAATAATTCAAATTCAAATTCGCAAAAAAAAAAAAAAAAAAAAAAAAAAAAAAAAAAAAAAAAAAAAAAAAAGAACACTCAAGTTTACGCCTTAAAATAATAATTGAATACCTAACCTCACTTACCAATCCAGTATTTAAGTAATTCACCCTTTTTCTGCTCGTCACTTTTAATTTGTGTTGTCTTTATTAATAAATCTTAGAATATTTTTAGAATTCTAGGCTCCGTTTGTTTTATTATTTCTACCCATATTCCTAATTCTATTCCTCAAATATTGTTTGGCACATTATTTGAGAAATATTGGTCTATTTTTTAATTACTTTTAGACCCCTTAAGTTTATTAATTTCGTCAAAATACCCCCAAAAAAAAGTTTAAAAATTAACAAAAACACCCCACCCACCAATTCTTGCCAGATTCCGACAACCACCGCCGGTGGTAGCCGAAATCTGTTACAATGGTCTACACCAGCACTAGAAATGGTTGGTAATTCACTGATCTGGCCTTTTCCGGCCAAATCCACAATGGATTTGGCCATCAGCGATTGCCAAAGATATGGTTTTAACTATTTTAGACCCCTTAAGTTTATTAATTTCGTCAAATACCCCTAGAAAAAAGTTTAAAAATTAACAAAAACACCCCCACCCACCAGTACTTGCCAGATTCTGACAACCACCGCCGGTGGTAGCCGAAATCTATCACAATAGTCTACACCACCATCGAAAATGGTCGGTAATTCACTGATCTGGCCTTTTCCGGCCAAATCCGCAGTGGATCTGGGAAATGGTCGTCGTTGACGGTCAACGACAGCCATATCTTTGGCCATCACTAATGGCCAAAGATGGACTTTTTCGGCCGTTGACTGGAAAATGTCATATTAATCGAATACTCACCAGATCCGACCAGTATGTGTCGTTACGTAATTTTTTGGCCAGATTTCGATGGTGGTGGCCGGAATCTAGCACTGCGGGTGGTAGGGGTGTTTTTGTTATTTTACAATATTTTTATATATTGGGGTGTTTATTAAATTAGCAAACCTAGGGGGTTTTTTAATGAATTTTTAAATTTTACCTTGTAATACTCCCCTATTCAACTACCCAATATTATTTCTAAAATCCTATCCAAAATAATAAAACAAACAAACCCCTAAATTTTGTATTTTGTTAGGTATATAATAAATATTTAAAAGTCAACAGTGAAACATTAGTGTCATAGTCAGCCCTATTAGGACCGGCTCGAAATCTGTTGAAATCACCAAATTTTGACTTGTCATTTTGCTGCAGAAGACAACGAAACATTCGATCACCTTTTGTAGCCAAATAATGAGTTAAAATCTGGTGTTTCCATCAGATTCCAACAAATCAGCTCATGTCGATCCTAGTGGCATCGACAATAAGAGCAAGACGCAATGCTAGAATATGACAATCGTTGTCGGTGTCCACTATTGTGTCGGCGCCAATCTACTGTTTTCGCAACCTGATTGTTAAATTTTATTTATTTCAGAAAAATCAAATTATATATTTAATAAATTAATTTTTATTTAAATTCTTCCTAAATAAAACTATAATGTAAGGGTATATATGCCATTTGAACATACAAAATCTTTAAAAATAATTTGATTTTGAAAAGTTATCATTATTAGCTTTCAGAATTATTTTATAAACTGATTATTTTATAATCAATTTTAAACTTAATTAGTTTTAAAAGTAGTTTATCAAACACTTTTATTACTGTAATTTAAAACTTAATTGATTATTTATCAAGTTATTTAAATCACAACTACAGACTAAATTATAATACTGAAGTTATAATAAGTTATTAAAAGCAATGGTGAGATTTTAGTGGTTGCTGCATATGTGACCGTGGCCATGATATTAAACAATCTTCATTTATTTTTCTCCTTTTTCTGGTCTATAAGTCCAAAACTTTGCATTTTGTTCCAGATATTTAAGCTCCACTTGACTCAAAGTAAGTTTCAATATATGTAATTATAAATATGTTAAAAATATAGCTTTTTATGACAAATTTGTTAGTTGTTTGATTAGAAAAATGTAAAAGAATTTTTTAATATTAATTTAGAAAATCCTGTCAATTAGGGTACGAACTTTTCAGACATTTTTAATTGAAGGACAAGTTACAAATGCATAATTTAAGAGACAAGAAACAGTTACTTAGATTTAGATTTAACGTATATAAGAGGAAAATAGTGATTTTATAAGTTTAATTTTTTTTAATTTATTAAAACCAATAAAAAAGTACAAAAAATTAACACAACTGTAAGTAAAATAAAGAAAGAATCAGCTTTTTAAACCTGAGGAAGTATATTGTTATTAGAGTAAACCTCAGGGGAAAAATTGCATTAAACTCATATAACTGTTACGTATTTAGTTTATACTACAATTATTCTATTAAATCAACTATTGATGAATTAAAATTTTATATTGAGCATTATTGAATTATTTTCTAAAACAATTAAAATAAATCTAGTCAATTATAATTCCGGCAGAATGGCGCAGAAATACATTATAAAGAAACCAAACTTGGCTTAGTTTAATCATTTGCGCCCACTACTAACAAGACGTGTTGTGATAAGAATCGACTCTGGGAGATAGTCTTTTACATGAAGCGATCACTTCTAATAGAAAGTTTAAAATCTTCCTCAATTATACAGTATGAGACGCCAAGACACAGTATATACTTGGAGAAGGGAAACGGCGAAACGTTGTGGTCAGAAATTTTAGATACCATGCTTCACCACGATGATATGTTCACAATTCCTTCTTATTTTATCCTTAAATTTACACTAAACAGCCACACAAGATGAGGTTTTGTACAAGTCTTTAGCTGCAAATCTCGTATCAATCAGATAACAGAGTACTCTAAAACTGGGTAAAATAAAAGGAATTGCATCGTCAGACAACTGGGGAATCATCTTCCAACACGTACAGTTACAGCTTCCTGGTTCTTCATACTATCATATCCAGCAGTCGTTTCACCACCATGACTAGCATTATCTGATGATTCTCCAAGCAACTGCCCTGTTTCTTCCAAATTTGGCTCATCTTTCAGCCTCGGATGCTTTAAAATTATCAGCCCCTCCAGTTCCATGGATGCTTTAAAATTATCAGCCCCTCCAGTTCCATGGTTACTTCCTTCATGGTTGGCCTTTCCTCCCCTTTCACTGTCACACACTGCCTTGCAAGGTTAGCAACTTGATGCCCCATTCGTTACACAATCATCAAAAATCTCTGCCAAGTGGTTTTCTTTCATAGCAGTGACAAAATACATGGCCAGATTTCTTTCATTCTCAGGCCTGTCAAAGGAAAGTGCCTTCTTACCAGTGAGTAGCTCCACAACCACAATTCCAAAGCTATAAACATCGCTTTTCTCGGTTAGTTCGCTTGTGTGCAAGTATTCAGGATCTAAGTAGCCAAGTGTACCTTGCACTATTGTAGATAATCCTTCTTGATCCAGAGGCACCAACCTTGAAACACCAAAATCAGACACTTTGGCAGTATAATGATCGTCTAATAGAATATTTGTGGACTTGATATCTCTATGGATGATTGGTACTGAAGCTGAAGAATGCAAATATGATAGCACTCCTGCAGTTTCTGCAGCTATCCTTAAACGTTTTTCCCTTGGAATGGCAGAAGCTTTGGTTTTATCATGGATGTGATCAAAGAGGGTGCCATTAGTGACAAATTCGTAAACTAGCAATGGAACTTCTGTCTCCAAGCAACAACCTAAAAGCTTTACCACATTCCTGTGATTGATTTGCGAAAGCACGATCACCTCATTAATGAATTGCTCAACTTGACTTTGATCCACTACTTTTGACTAAATTGCAACAACTTTTCCATTTGACAAAATCCCTCTGTAAACTGTACCATATCCCCCACGGCCAACAATTCTGCTTTCATCATAGTCGTCGGTAGCCTTGTCGAGTTCCTCAGCAGTAAAGATTTTTGCAGTTTTTATTGTGGTTCCCTCCTCTCTTCCTCTTGATAGTTGTTGTTGTAACAAAAATCCGCCATTTTTGCGGAAAAACTTCTCTTTGAGTTTGAGGAGCTTCCTTCTCTTGAATCCCCAATACAACCAAGTGCTACCTATTAACAGTACTACAAGGCCTACGCTAACCCCTGCGAGCATGGCATATATATAGAAGCATAAATATATAAGCTGCTCTGTAAACATCTTCAAGCTGATACATAGTTTAGTTATGTGCAAAATTTAGAAAAGGCACAAAACTATATATTCAATAGAATTAAGTTTCCATACTAAATGAATATATATTCTGAAATTTTCATTCTAAAATCTATCAGTTACAATTTTTTCCATGGGTGCCATCAACAGAGGAGCATAAAACATACGAGTATATATATAATTACCTTGTAATAAAGTAAATCATACAAGTATGTATCACATTTGTCAGAGATCAACAAGAGTATAGAGCAACTATATCACTTACCAAAGTGACGGGAATTACTTTTGATTGATCAAGAATGCAACCTTGTCCATCTTTTCTTCCATCCCCATGGTGCCCCTTGGGGCATAAACATGTGTAGTTCCCTTTTTTGTTAACACAGGTTTCTTTGCTTTTATTGAGACTAGGAACCTTACATTCATCGATGTCTGCATAAGAACCAAACTTACTGATAATAATAATAATAATTAGATATAATCAGTTGAAGATAATTAACGAAACTTACCTAGAATCAATCCAGTGAACTTATTCAGGTTACATGTAAGACCATGCAGCAACCAAACAAAAACTGAGTCATATTCCTTTTATATACTGTATGTATATATGAACAAGGGAGAGCATACCTCTGCAACCACCAGGGAGATATGGGTTTCCTTCATAACTATCTAAGCACTCGCAAAGGTACCCAGTTCTGTTTTTAGAATCAATACATCTGCTTTTTCCTTGACATATAACCATTTTTGCTGCTTCGCAGGACTCATTTCCGATTGCCCAATCAAGTACCATAGGAAGTTTCTCCACATTTTCCAGATCTGCAAGTGAAGTTGAAGAAAAAATGACCTTACCCTCTTCAACGATAAATGCATAGCTGCAGGGAAAGAAATATCACTGATTTACAAGACATGTTTGTCATAACAGAGTTAAGATCTTTTGCTGTTTGAATCCCTAAAAATCTATTATCTTATCTTATATATTAATATTATACATTCATTGACATCAATGTTTAATTATTATATTCTTTTTGTTCATACAAATAAATAAAGAAAAGTTCACTTGCAAGTGCTCCCTTTTAGACTTTTCTGCGATCTTGACGCCTCTTAGGACCAAGTCATTAACAGGGTGACTTCAGCCGCTTCCATCAGCTTCTTCTGCTCATAATTCCGCATCAAACCTTTTAAAAATTGCACAGTTGATGATAATTGAGAATCAAAGTTCAGAATATGACCTCACAATTCTAATAGCCAATTCCAATTGGGCAAGTCATGCCGTATGTATTATAAAATGCTTCAGGGAAAACAAAAATAGTAAACTGTATTGAAGAAATTAAATTGCTATAAAATATTTCTTTTCAATATTTTACAATAAGTTCTTTTATCAGTTAACTGTCCCCAGAATTTTGTATCTCATTCATCAGTTTGTTAAAATTGCTGAAAATCATGATTCGCAATCGAATCTTCTCATGTCCAGTTGTTTTTTTTTTTTTAAATTGATCAAAACATATAAAATCTTTTAACACTAAAAACATATGAATCCCTGTTTATTTGCCTGATATATGTCAAAACTTAAAACCTTACTTAAAATCAATTCTTAATTACTCCTTGCGTTCTTTTTATAAATGTCATTTTGAAGTTGAAATTTTTTTTCAAATTAAATAACGTTATCTAGTCTCTTACCTGCATCTCCATTCTCCAGTTCCATGGCCCACATCTCCTCTCTCTCTCTCTCTTTATCTTTTCTCTTCTGCTCATCTCCTCTCTTCCATATTTTCCATGGCCCACATCTCTCTCTCTCTCTCTCTTTATCCTATCTCTTCCCCTTATCTCCTCTCTTCCGCATTTTCCATGGCCCACATCTCCTCTCTCTCTTTATCTTATCTCTTCCCCTCATCTCCTCTCTTCCACATTTTCCATGGCCCACATCTCCTCTCTCTCTTTATCTTATCTCTTCCCCTCATCTCCTCTCTTCCACATTTTCCATGGTCCACATCTCCTCTCTCTCTCTCTCTCTCTCTCTCTCTCTCTCTCTCTTTTACCTTATCTCCTCTCTTCCACATTTTCCATCGCCCACATCTTCTTTCTCTACTTGCCTCCATCTTCTCTCTCCACTTTTTTCTATGTCTGCATAAGAACCAAACTTACTGATAATAATAATAATAATTAGATATAATCAGTTGAAGAATCTTAACGACACTTACCTAGAATCTATCAAGTGAACTTATTCAAGTTACATGTTGTTATGCCTGGGAAAATAAGGGCTGATGGGGGAAAGTCACGTGAAGAGTGACCTGCTCCCGTCAGAGCAACACGCACACGTCAGACCTGCCAAATGATATGGAGCTCACACGTGTTAAATGATAAAAGAACACCTTGGGAAGCCACCTCTCCTCTCTAAGCCTCTTCCACAGGAGACCCTGCTCGTCTACCTGTCCATGTCTCAGTTCGCGGTCAGTGCAGCTTTAATACGGGAAGAGGAAAAGGCTCAATGGCTAGTATATTATGCAATTAAGCGTCTATCGGATGCCGAGATGCGGTATCCGGAGATGGAGCGACTAGCTTTTGCTCTGCTGGTCGCATCCAGAAAGCTGCGACCTTACTTCCATGCCCATACGATCAATGTAATGACAAATTACCCCCTCAGGCAGGTCTTCAGAAAACCAGAGGCCTCGGGTAAACTGCTCAAATGGACCATGGAGTTGAGCCGGTTCGACCTAAAGTATAAGCCCAGGTCGACCATCAAAGGGAAGGCTGTTGCAGACTTCATTTCGGAATTTTCCTATCTCCCAAGCAAGCAGCAGCCTAGCGAAGTCGGGCAAGAAATTATTCAGAACCTGTCGACCTGGAACCTCTACGTCGACGGGTCATCAAACAGGAAAAAAGCTGGTGCGGGTCTTCTCCTCGTGAGCCCCGAGGGGGCTCGAATTCATGGTATTCTCCGGTTCGGGTTTAAGGCGACTAACAATGAGTCCGAATACGAAGCTCTGCTCGCCGGGTTGCGACTCGCCAAAGAAATGGGTGCAGCCGTGATCAGCATTTACAGTGACTCTATGCTGGTCGTCAACCAAGTTTTAGGGGAATACCAAGCCAAGGAAGAGAACATGGTTCGCTACCTGAAAGAGGCTAAGGCCTCTCTGGGGTAGTTTAAGCACTTTGAAATCGTTCAGATCCCCAGAGAGAGCAATTCTATAGCGGACGCCTTGGCAAAGATAGCCTCATCGTTAGATTCTGAGGCTCCTGATAACATTCCTGTTCGTTTCGTCGATGCTCCAACTATCAGCTCGATCGGACAGGCCGTGAATGTGATTCAGCCAGATTCCTGGATGACTCCCATTGTCCAGTACCTCAGGGATGGGACCTTGCCGAGCGACAAAGCCGAGGCAAGGGTTCTGCGAGTAAGGTCTGCTCGTTTCACACTCATCGGGGATCAGCTGTACAGGAGAGGATTCAGTGCCCCTCTCCTCCGATGTGTAACCAGTGAAGAAGCAGACTACATCATGAGGGAAATTCATGAAGGGATCTGCGGTAACCACACAGCAGCTCGATCTCTTGCGAACAAGGTTGTTCGTCAGGGATATTATTGGCCCCGAATCCAAGAAGATGCGCACAACTTTGTCAAGAAGTGCGACAAATGCCAGCGGTTCGCGAACATTCCGCGAGCCCCATCTCACGAGCTGATTACTATGTCTAGCCCCTGGCCATTTTCCATGTGGGGGATCGACCTTATCGGCCCCATGCCAGTTGGAAAGGGAGGGGTCAAGTATGCCGTGGTCGCGGTAGACTATTTCACAAAATGGGTTGAAGCCGAGCCGCTAGCCGCGATCACGACCAGAAAGCTAAAAGACTTCGTTTTCAAGAACATAGTGTGCCGCTACGGAATTCCTCACACCCTCATCTCGGATAATGGAAAGCAATTCGATAATGAGGAGTTCAAGCAGTTCTGCGACGAGCTGGGCATCCATAAAAAATTTGCCTCAGTCGCCAGACCGCAAGCGAATGGCCAAGTTGAAGCAGTCAACAAGACCATCAAGCACACTCTGAAGGCCAAGCTCGGGGCAGCCAAAGGAAATTGGGCAGACGATCTCCCCGAAGTCTTATGGGCATACAGGACAACTCCAAGAACCTCCACCTCGGAAACCCCTTTTTCGCTGGCCTATGGCTGCGAAGCGATGATCCCTGTAGAGGTCGGGACTGGTTCTCTTCGAAGAGACTTGTACAATGAGGTCGAAAACGAAGCCCTTATGAGAGCATGTTTGGATCTGGTCGAAGAGCACCGCAACAAGGCTTCGTTAAGAATAGCAGCCTACCAGCAGCGAGCAAAAAGGTTCTTCGACTCAAAGGTCAAGCGAAGAGACTTCCAGGTCGGAGATCTTGTGCTAAAGGAAGTTCTCCTCGGGACCAGAGAGCCAAGTGCAGGGGTACTAGGGCCTAACTGGGAAGGTTCGTACCGGGTTGACAAAGTGATCAGACCGGGGACTTACCACCTCAAAAGATTGAACGGCTCCAAAGTACCCCGAGCTTGGAATGTCGAGCACCTCCGGCCATACTATCAGTAATCCCGAACTCAGCTCTCAATTTTTGTTAATTTCTTTAAAGTATTACTTTGTTCGCTCGAAACAGTTCGCATGTGTTCTGTTCGCATGTAAGAATTTGTATGCAATTGCTTATGTAAATCACAATTGTAAACTGTACATATATATGAAAAAGCGAACTACAATTGTAAAGAAAATGTCTCCATTTATGTACAAACAAAAAGTCAAAAGACCCGATTACAATGGGGACAGCTCATTACACTAAGACTGGTCGGGGGGATCTTTCGAACCAGAACCCCCTGCCTGGTCGGGTCGTTAGGCGGCCGTGGCTTCCTGATCATCCTCCTCGGCCATGATCCGCAAAGTCGCTTGCCAACCCTCCGGGAGGTCGGACACGTCCAGATCTGGGTTCTTTGCTCGCAGGGAGTAAATAGACCCGATTGCCCAGTCTACGGCCTTTTCTTCCAGCTCCTCTGACTGATTCTGCATTTCTTCAGTCAGGGAAGTGATTCTCTCCTGACTCTCCTGGAGTTCGGCCTCAAGAGCTCGCCTTTCCTGTTCGGAGGCCTCCCTATCTTGTTCAGCTCGTTGAGCCCGTGCGAAGGTCGCCTGGATCTCCTGATCCCTCTCTCCGACCTCTTTAGAGAGCCTGGCGGCTGTCCTTTGGAGTTCCTTAACCTCCTCCGCACGTCGATCGAGCTCCGTCTTTTGGAAGTCCACTGTTCGTAAAGCAGCGTCCTTTTGGTTCAGATACCTGTTCGCCGCTTCGAATGCCTGTGTTCTTTCCGCTTCGACGGACTCCAAGCTCTGCTTCAACTTCGCGACCTCCTCCTCCAGGTCGCTTGTCCCTTTTGCGGCCCCCAGCCGCGTCTTTTCCATGGACATCCTCATCGCAAGCAACGCCTGCGAGCAAGATATGAGTTAGAAATAAATCAGAATGAAGTTTCAAACACAGCTCGTTTACCTTGCTCAGATGCTGGAACGACGTGGTCATCAGGTCGTCGCCCGTGTCAGCAAACTCGTCGTATGACTTCGATAGCTTGCACTCGAGCAGGCCATAGACTATCGGCTGCAGGTGCTCTGGCAGACTCCCTAATGAGTCTAGAACTGGTGCGTCCTTCGCCTTGTCGGCAACGACCGCCTCGCTCACGGGCTCCATGCCCGACCTCCTGGATTCCTGGCGCGTCCTCAGAGGCTCATCCTCGGATTCGGTCTCAGACTCTTCGGCCTGGACCTGTTTCCTCTTCTTGGACCTTTGGGCCGGAGCCTTCCGCCTTGGGCGAACAGATGGTGCCTGAGCGACCTGTTCTGTCCTGGTAGCTTCTTGCACAGGACGGGGCTGCGAAGGTGCAGCAGCTCGCAACGACTGTGCCGAAATAGGACAGGCAGCTTCGGCCGCCCTCTCTCTCCTCGATCGAGGGAAGACGAATGGTGCTCGGCGAGGCTGCCCGGACTCCTTTGGGGGCATGGTTTCTGCATTTAAGTTCGTTAGTAAGCAAATTTATTCTACGACCAGAAAGGAACTAGTATAACTTACCTTCTGGGGGTTCTAACGACGCCTTGTCGCTGAAAAAACCGTACTTCCGCAAGTTCGCGGTTGTCACAAGCTTCCTCGCGTCCCGGCTCTCCTCGTCCAATACTCCGAAAGATACGAGCCTATCTGGATCGGCGAGTAGCGCTTGTTCGGCCGTTCTGTTAACTGCAAAAGAAAACAGGTCGTTATTATGGATCAGGCGAGCAGATAATGAACCCAGCGAAGAAAAACCTACTTGGATCCTGAAAGCGGCAGTAGCCGTCATAAAAGAAGAAGAAAAACTTTGACTCGTAGGCCCCTGCATTGCTGGGATAGCTATGTATCCCCGCGGCAATGGTAGGTCGCCGAGACAAATAATACGAGTCCTTGTCCCTACTCTTCTTTAGGTAGTAGGCGACGCCGAGCTCCACCGCCGTTGGCTCTCCTAAGCCGTTCTCGCAGCACGCGATGTACATCGCGACAGCGATGACGTACACGTTTGGCGTCAGCTGCATCGGTGCGATCCCGAAATGATCCAGGACCGACCTAATGAAAGGATGGAAGGGAATCCTCCCTCCACCCTTGAAGATCTCTTTAGAGATCGCGGCAAGGCCATCGGCCGGGCACCGTGACGACCTGGTGTGGTTGAGGAACACCTCCGCGCGGATGTCAAACTGCCTCTTTATTCTATTATATTCCTCAGAGGTGAGAACCGAGTAAACATCGAGGGCTGCGTCCTCGGGAACTTCCCGCGAGGACGAGCTGGCTCCTTCCTCGGGTCTGGATGTTGACGGTTCCATTCCAGTCTACAACATCGACAGACACGGTCATTTAGGCCTTCGTGCTTGTCCCGTGCGGCGGCAGGGGACAAATTCTTAAAACCTAACAGTAACTTAAGCCGCCATCCACGGCTCGAATCCAATGACGACGTCACGTCTCTGGTGAAACACCGGGAGACCCAACGCCATGGCCCAACCAAACCAATGCAAAATAAAAAAAGGGAAAAGAGAATCTTACTCTCTGGGATGCGAAGCTGAGGCTGAAACTCGTTTCAGTTGCCTGAGAAGCGCCGATCGGAAAAGAATGATTTTTGGTTTGCGAAGGTTTGTCACTCGAAGCAAAAGAAAATTCGGTGACCTCATCTGAAAAATGCAAGTTTTTATATAGATTGCGAATCAACGGTTACCACCCCTCAGAACCGAAACGACAGCCCTCTCTCTCTCCCCGCATTAAATGCGCCTCACGTCGCATTAAATGCTGTGATAAGAGTCGTCGTTTCGAATGCGTTACACAACCAATGCTGTCAAAATGGCGTCGGGTCAGCACACAACGCATTTAATGTGTCTGACAAACGCTTTAACGCGTGCAGAGCGCCTGACAGCGCAGAACCAGGTTCATTGAATCTCTAAGGTACAGAAAGGAGCGTCCATCAGATCCAGGTCGCTAGGATGAAGATTGTCAGGTCGCTTAGGCAAGGAATTGTGCGAGATCGTGTTCGCCAAGAGTCTTGTGCCGAGCTCATCCTACTCAGGTCGGAGCGACTAGAATCTCCGATGTGACTTAGTTTCCAAGATTCAATCCTCAAACCTTAAAAACTAGGGGGCTTCTGTTATGCCTGGGAAAATAAGGGCTGACGTGGGAAAGTCATGTGAAGAGTGACCTGCTCCCGTCAGAGCAACACGCACACGTCAGACCTGCCAAATGATATGGAGCTCACACGTGTCCCTTTCCCCTGCAATAAATCGTGCGAAATCAGCTTGGGAAGAGAGAAATGGGACATAAAGCCGGATTATATCCTGAAAAATCACACCAACCCATGGATTTAATTATGATTACACGCTTCAGTTTGATATAAAATGAAGAAGACCCCTTCATTATGGGGATTCGGCCATTTTTACAAAAAAACTCTCTCTCCCGTAAACACATTTACTTTTCATAACTCCTCTGTAAGTCAGTCCGCTTTGCGACCTAACCTACACTAATATCAATACAAATCAGTGGACATAGGACTTGCTACCTTAGCATCCGAACCACTTTAAAAGCTTCTTTTGCATTTATTTCATTTCATATGTTCATTATCACGTGTGTTTATTCACCAATCAGCAATACGCACGTGACAATTAGTTGATGCCAAAAACCAGCATCAACACATGTAAGACCATGCAGCAACCAAACAAAAACTGAGTCATATTCCTTTTATATACTGTATCTATATATGAACAAAGAAGAGCATACCTCTGCAACCACTAGGGAGATATGGTTTCCTTCATAACAATCTAAGCACTCGCAAAGGTACCCAGTTCTGCTTTTAGAATCAATACATCCGCTTTTTCCTTGACATATAACCATTTTTGCTGCTTCGCAGGACTCATTTCCGATTGCCCAATCAAGTACCATAGGAAGTTTCTCCACATTTTCCAGATCTGCAAGTGAATTTGGAGAAAAAAATGAACTTACCCTCTTCAACGATAAATGCATAGTTGCAGGGATTAAATTCCCTTACTTTTTTATGCTGATTGATACTTTCCACCGTTATATCATTATCTGTTACTCCTTCAAGGATAGATGTCTGGCAACATCCTATGCCGGAACATGTGCTATTAGTTACATACACTATGCTTTCACACACGGAGATGCAACCAACAATGTACTCCAAAGAATATGCTTACTAAAGCTGCCTGACCTGCGCCACTACACACTAGCTAGTCAATGGTCATTGCAATAATTGAACTCTTTAGGCGAAAACTCCAATGAATATGCTTACTAGAGATACTCGCGTCACTACACATAGCTAGTCAATAGTCACTGGGTCACACAGACTTTGGGTTTGTTCGTCCTCAACTTAACTAGCAATCAAAACTCCGAAGTATTGTTTACTTTAATCAACTCCAAAGTGTTGACAAAAATATCAAAAATAAATGGATCGAGATTAACTAGCTAGTGCCATCTGTAGGTTTTTCCAGGTTCAAAAGCTAAGAGAAAGAAGGATTTTCATGCATGAGAGAGAGCTAAAATAATCAAAGTGAAACTGATGCAAAAACAGGCTGTATTTTCCATTTACAAACTGAGAGATATATGCACCTAATACAACACTGTTACAACTACTTTCCAGTATAAATAAACTTTAAATATACTACAATTTGAACCACCCTTAACAAACACATATTTCACTAAGATTTTGTGGCTTAATCACCGGCTGTCTTCACCTAAAACATCATTCAAATAACTTCCAAAAAGGATGGGAACTGCACATGACAGACAGCCCTTTTAATTCAAAAACCTGGCGCCAAACTTTCAAACCAACCATGCAAAATGATTTCCAGCAAAATATCATTTACTTCAACACTCCTCCTTGATATTTTTGCTGGAAACTCCAAGTCTGAATCTTAATCCTTCAAACTTGGATCTGCGTAAAGGTTTGGCCATTATATCAGCCACTTGCTTCTCTCCCTTGCAGTGAATCAGCTTTACCTCACCATTTTGCTCTGCCTCTCTCACTACATGATATTTGATTCTGATATGCTTTGTGCGACCATGGAGTACTGGATTCTTGGACATAGCAATTGCCGATTGATTGTCACAATGCAGCACATTTCCTTGAGTCTGTTCCAGCCTTAAATCTTTCAAAAATTTTCTCAGCCAAACCAACTGGTTGACTGCAGCAGCAGCAACAACATATTCAGCTTCAGCCGTTGATTGTGCTACCACCTCTTGTTTTTTTGAATTCCAGCTTATAGCACCTGCATTCACAAAGAAAATATATCCAGAGGTGCTTTTCATATCATCCAAGGAACTACCCTAATCACTATCAGTGAATCCATGCAAACTGAAATTTTCAGCTTCCTTAAACCATATTCCCAACTCTGGACATCCTCTAATGTACCTGAGGACTCTTTTTGCTGCTTGCAAATGCAGCTCACTTGGTTCATTTATGAACCTAGAGAGTAAGCTTGGTGCATACATAATGTCCGGCCTTGTTGCAGTTAAGTATACCAAGCACCCAACTATGCTTCTATACTTAGTTTCATCAACCTTAGCATCACCATCATTTTTACACAACTTCAAATTTTGCATCAGAGGTGTGTTGACAGGTTTACAGTTTTCCATTGCAAATTTCTTTAGTAGTTCATTAGCATACTTTTCTTGGGAGATGAATATGCCATTAGAGGACTGCCACACTTCCATTCCCAAAAAGAAACTCATCTCCCCTAAATCAGTCATCTCAAATTCCTTGTACAGCTCTTTCTTGAAATCCAATAGCCTAGTGGAGTCAGTCCCTGTCACCAGAAGGTCATCAACATGCAAGGATACAAATATCCTTCCATCATCAACCTCTCTAACATATAGGGTGTGCTCATTTGGACTTCTTTCAAACCCCAAACTCATCAAGAACTCATTGCTGTACTAGGCCCTAGGGGCCTGTTTTAATCCATAAAGAGCCTTCCTAAGGAGATACACCTTATCCTCTTGCCCTTCAACCGTATACCCTTCAGGTTGCTCCACAAAGATCTCTTCATTAAGCCACCCATTCAAGAAAGCAGATTTCACATCCATTTGGAAGACTTTCCACTTGAAATAGGCTGCAATTACAAGAAGAATTCTGATGGTGTCATGCCTTGCAATTGGTGCAAAGGTGTCAGTAAAGTCCACCCCAAACTGTTGTGCATAACCCTTCACTACAAGCCTTGCTTTGTGTTTGTTAACTGAACCATCAGGATTCAGTTTCTTCTTATAAATCCATTTCACCTGAATGATCTTTCTGCCGACGGGTCTAGTTACAAGTTCCCAGGTTGCATTCTTCTCAATCATGTCAAGTTCTTCTTCCATTGCTGTCTTCCACTCTTTAACTTTGGCTGTTTCAGCATAACATGTTGGTTCCATTAAGGCCAAGTTGCATCTATCATAAATTTCAGCCAAAGGTCTAGTTTCCCTGACTGGAGAATCAACTTCAGAATCAGAACTGAAATCTGAAGCATCCTGATTAGCTATCAAGTCTCCTCCTTGTTCCTGCATATTACTCCCTTCAATTTCATTTCTGTCCCAGTTCCACAGCCCCTCTTCATTTACTTTTACATCTCGATTAACCAGGAATTTTTTGGTCTTAGGATTGTAAATCCTATATGCTTTGGATAAGCTGTTATATCCAACAAAAATTCCAGTTTCAGCCTTCTCATCCAGCTTACTCCTCTTGTTGGCTGGAATGTGAGCATAACAAATGCTTCCAAATATTTTGAGGTGCTTGATGCTTGGCTTTACTCCATACCAAGCCTCAAATGGTGTTTTGTTATCTAAGGCTTTAGTTGGCAGCCTGTTGAGAAGGTAGACTGTTGTATTCACAGCTTCAGCCCAGAAAAATTTTGGCAGTTTTTTCTCAAACAGCATACATCTTGCCATTTCCATTACGGTTTTGTTTTTCCTTTCACTCACACCATTTTGTTGTGGTGTGTAAGGAGTGCTCAGCTGATGCTTTATTCCAGACCCTGCACACAATTCTTGAAATTGGTTTGAGGTATACTCTGAACCATTGTCACTCTGGATGGTTTTCAAACTCAAACCAGTTTCATTCTCCACCATTTGCTTAAACCCCTTAAACATTGCAACCACCTCACCTTTTTGTTTCAGGAAGTAAGCCCAACACAACCTAGTAAAGTCGTCTATAAATAGCAGAAAATACCTGCTACCATTCAGAGAGGGCACCTACATTGGACCACACACATCTGTGTGTATAAGCTGAAGCTTTTCAACAGCTCTCCAGGATTGATTTGCTGGAAATGGTTGCCTACTGATTGTCCCCAGTTGGCAAACTTGACATACCTCTTCCTTCTCCTCAATTTCGGACATACATTGAACAAGTTCTCTCCTCTTCATTTCCTTAATACCTGTATAATGAAAGTGCCCAAGTCTTTTGTGTCAAACTTCAGTTTCAACACATTTTGTAGACAAAACATGTAAAGCTAAGTTTTTCCATTCAGTTGGAAAACTTTTTCCTAGCATTCTCACATTCATCAAGTCATTCCCTAAGTTGTTTACAACAATGCAATACATATTTTGAAAATGTAAGGAGTAGTTCTTTTCAAGCATTTGACCCACACTCAGCAAGTTTTGGTTGATTTCGGGTACATAAAGAACATGTGCAATATATTTAGAGCCTAATGAAGTTGGGACAGCAACCTTACCTCTTCCTTTGACTTCCACAAACTCTACATTGCCAATCTTGACTTTGGAGTGAAAAAGCCTATCAATGCTGACAAAACTTGACAGATTTGGAGTCATGTGGTTTGTACAACCACTATCAATCAGCCATACATCATCACACATGTTGTGGTTTGTGCATGAAGCCATGAAGAGTTGTTCTGCTTCTAGATTTGCTTGCTGGACCTCCACCACTGTAGCCTGCTGCTACTGCTGATTTCCTTTGCTTTCACACACTTTTTCTATGTGTCCATATTGCTTGCATGACCTGCATTGTATGCCAGGTCTGAACCAACACTTATATTCTGGATGGTTCTTCTTTTTGCAATGCACACATGGAGGAAATGATCTTGGTCCACCACGTTTCCATCCTTGATTGTTGCTCTTCTCTTTTCCTTTCTTTTCACCACCATATTTCTTGTCTTCCCTTCCTTGTACTCTTCCTTTCTGTCCTACAAACATGGCTGCCTCAATTGAGTCTTCTTGCTTCAGCTGCCTCCTTGTTCCTAGGCTTGAAGTGAATGAACCAGCTCAGCCAAGCTGATTCTGGACAGATCTTTAGAGTCTTCTAGGGACGAAATTTTTGCTTCAAACCTCTCAGGTAAGCTGACCAGGACCTTCTCCACTACCTTCTGGTTGGTTAGTTCTTCCCTTAACAGTTTGATTTTTTTCACCACAGCCATAAGTCTGTCCATATATTCCTTCACAGATTCTGTCTCCTGCATCTTGAGTACTTCAAATTCCCTTCTCAAGTTTAGAACTTGCATATTTCTTGTCTGGTTACTCCCTCCAAACTCCTCCTTGAGAGTGTCTCAGGCTTGTTTAGGGGTCTCACATGCCATGATCTTGGAGAAGACCTGATCTGTCACGGCTAAATGTATGCAAGACAATGCTTTTGGAGCTTTGTCTGCTTCTTCTTCATGAACTCTCATCTAGTTCAGCGTCGGGTTGGGTCCAAGTTGGAGAACTTGCTTCTCCTCTTCCACATATTGCCACAAACCATGGCCTTTCAGGTATGTTTTCATCTTGACAGCCCAAACATGGTACTGATCACCATTGAAAATTGGAGCAGAGATTGGAGCAGAACTGGATGCCATGGAGAAGCCTTTTTGAGTTAGTATTCTGGTCCTGAAAGATCAAAGAAGCTCTGATACCAATTGTAGGTTTTTCAAGGTTCAGAAGCTAAGAGAAAGAAGGATTTTCGTGCATGAGAGAGAGCTAAAACAATCAAAGTGAAACTGGTGCAAAAACAGGCTGTATTTTCCATTTACAAACTGAGAGAGATATATGCACCTAATACAACACTGTTACAACTACTTTCCAGTATAAATAAACTTTAAATATACTACAATTTGAACCACCCTTAACAAACACATATTTCACTAAGATTTTGTGGCTTAATCACCGGCTGTCTTCACCTGAAACATCACTCAAATACACTTCCAAAATGGACAGGAACTGCACTTGGCAGACAGCCTCTTTTGGTTCAAAAAACTGGCGCCAAACTTTCAAACCAGCCATGCAAAATGATTTCCAGCAAAATATCATTTACTTCAACACCATCACTGATTTACAAGACATGTTTGTCATAACAGAGTTAAGATCTTTTGCTGTTTGAATCCCTAAAAATCTATTATCTTATCTTATATATATTATACATTCATTGACGTCAATGTTTAATTATTATATTCTTTTTGTTCATACAAATAACTAAAGAAAAGCTTATTCCATTAATTCGTCATACATAAAAAAGAGTGAACCTCTCAGGCAATGAATTAGCATGTTTCTCATGTACCCTTTGTTGATATGTGTTGCAAGAATAATAGTCACTGGATCACACAGACTTCGGGTTTGTTCGTCGTCAACTTAACTAGCAATCACAAAAGGGTTTTGTTTTTAGAATACTTAAAAACGGCTTCATACGTACTCTATGAGAAGGGTTGTCTTGTTTACATAAAACACCATAATTCTAACCTGCAAAGTGACAATGCGATTCTGGTGATCATCTTCTCATCCATCTTATTATATCTGAGTCTAAAACACAGGAGATCTAAGACAAATTTGGGATATTAGTTTATAGAGGTGAATAGTTTTAATATAATTAAATTTGTAAGATTAAAAAAAGAAAAAGAATTAGATGGTTTTTATTTTATATCTTCACATGAAAAAAGAGAGAAGGATTATGAATTCTTGAATCCCGCACCACTAGGTTCCCTACACGTGAATCTCGTGCGAATAAATAATTATCGGACCTCTCAATACACTATAAAAATTTAGAGTAATGTTACCGTCACCAAAATAGTGCATCGAATGACGTAACAAAATCTTGACCGTTGATTAATATTAAGTTATAATTAATCGATGGTTAAGATTATGTCACGTCATTCGATGCATAAAATCGATACACTACTTTCGGTGTCTCTATTATTTTCTAAAAATTTATAATACCATGAAAGCATCACATCATCAATACCATCAACTAATAAATTTATCATATTTTATAATTTTTTCTGTTATCTGTCTTTATATTGATTGTGTGCAAAGGTGGAACAAATGGGCTGGGTTAGGCGGGTCAACCCTAACCCAGCCCGTAATGAAGAGGGTCCGGGTTGAGCCCAACCCGCTAGCAACCCGCAGGCGGGCCGGGTTGCAAAATGGCAACCCGGTGGCCCGCGGGTTGCTATTTTGTCTTCTCTGCTGGAGGACCGCCAACCCGCCGGGTTGGCTGTTACACCAACGGCCAACCCGTCGGGTTGAGTTGGCCGAAAAATAAATTAAAAAAAATTTAAAATTAATTTATTTTTTCAAATTACCCTTTTACCCTTGAAATATAGCCGTTGGAGGGGTCTTTTTCGTCATTTTCTTTCCCCATTTTTTTCTATAAATTGGCACTAAACTCTCATATTTTTCTCACAACTCAAATTCTTTCATTCTCTCATATTCTCTATTCTCTAATCTCTATTCTCTCAATTATTCATTTATTCTCTTAATCTTTTTGTTATCAATTTGCTCTTATTTTAATTTTTATTAGTTTTTGCAATTTTCAATTCATATTTCCAATTTTCCAAATTCCAATTTCCATAAATCCATATTCCAATTCTCTTTCTTTAATTTTTATTTCTTCTACATCAATTTTTTTTTCAACTACAATGGATAGATATTTCTCTCCCATCAATTTCAATGATGAAGAAAAC